TGTGAGCCCGCGGGTTCGAGACCCGCCTGGACAGCGAGACCTCATCTCTACCATAAATCAAAAAATCAGCCGGGCGTGGTAGCGCATACCTGTAATTCCGGCTACTCGGAAGGCTGAGGCGGAAGGATCGCCGGAGCCCAGCAGGTGGAGGCTGCGGTGGCCGGGAGCGGCCACTGCACTCCAGTTTGGGCGACAGAGTGAGACTCCAACTCAAAAAAAAAAAAAACAGGACATGTATCAGCTAGGCATGGTGGCCCACGCCGGTAATTCCAGCACTTTGGGAGGCAGAGGCAAGAGGATTGCCCAAGTCCAGAGTTTCGAGGCCAGCCTAGGCAACTTGGTGAGACCTCATCTCTACAATAAAAAAAAAAAAATTAGCCGAGAATGGTGGCACATGACTGTGGTTCCAGCTACTTAGAAGGCTGAGGCTGAAGGATCACCTGAGCCCAGCAGGTCGAGACTGTGGTGGCTATGAGCAGCATGGCACTGCACTCCAGCCTGGGCAACAGAGTGAGACTCCTAGTAAAAAACAAAACAAAACAAAACAGAGCCAGGCTTGGTGACTCATCCTGTAATCCCACGCCTTTGGGAGGCCGAGGTGAGTGAATTGCCTGAGCCCATGGGTTCGAGACCCGCCTGGGTAACTTGGCGAGACCTCATCTCTACAATAAATCAAAAAATTAGTTGGGCGTGGTAGCACGCACCTGTAGTTCTGGCTACTTAGAAGGCTGAGGTAGAAGGGTCGCCAGAGCCCAGTAGGTCAACACTGGAGTGGCTATGAGTGTGCCACTATACTCCAGCCTGGGCGATGGAGTAAGACTCCAACTCAAAAAAAGAAAAGAAAACCGCAAACAAAAAACAGCTTAATGTAGCCAATTGCTTTGTCCTATTTTCCATGTAGCAGGTAAACATGAATGAAAACCCATTTGTTGGACTTCTTGGAGTTCTAGCTACAGCCGACTTGCCATTATGCTATCATGTCCCTGGGGGTTGAGCCAGTTGGAGGATATTACTTTGCAAGGCCCCTGCCTCTAGTGCAAACTACATACAGCTGCCCCACAAAGGTGCCCACAGCTCCCTAGATCTGTCACTTTCCCAGAAAGCCCAGTCTTGGCAGTTACTCATGCCTGCAATCACAGCACTTTGAGAGGCCTAGGCAGGAGGATTGCTTGAGCCCAGGAGTTTCAAATCAGCCTAGGCAACATAGCAAGATCTCGTTTCTACAAAAAATTAAAAAATTAGCCAGGCATTGGTAGCATGCGCCTGTAGTCCCAGGTCCTGGGGAGACTGAGGTGGGAGGATTGCCTGAGGCTGCAGTGATCCGGGATCACGCCACTACACTCCAGCCTGGGTGAAAGAATGAGACCGTGTCTCACAAAAGAAAGAAAGAAAGGATAGAAAGGAAAGCCCGGCCTCTTCAGAGAGTGGATATCTGGGTCAGAAGACACCAGAAGAAGTCAAAAACTCATCCCAGCTCAGGTGATAGAAAGAAACCAGAAGGCAGGTGAGATGGGCTTTCGCCCAGAGGACAATACTCAGGGTCAGGTCCCTGTTCCTCATCTGTACAGGAAGGGACGTGTCCTGGAGGCACCCATTCCCCACCTCTGAAATCCAGGCCTCTCTGATGAGACCCAGAGAGGCAAGAGCCTGTTCTCTCAGCCCCACGCTGCAGGAGCAGCCCAATGAGAAAGGACCTGGCAGCCCCCTGCGGCCCGCCCTCCTGGAGTGCCATCAGGACCAGTGCAGACATGGAGGCTCCAGCCCATCCTCCTGGGAGGGACCAGCCTGGGAAGTCAGGCTGAACTCCTGGCCTTCAGGGGATTTATTTCTGGGAGGAGCAGGGTGGGGAGGAGAGTTTGAGATAAGGCTGTGAGCTAAGGACTATAACTCCCACACACAGGCCACTTTATTGCTTTATAAAAATGTTCACCTGCTAAGACTAGGTTCAAGTGTGAGATACCATGTAAAAACATGCAGTGTGCCTGTTTTCAGAAAAGTATCTTTGTTGAGGAAAGCAGGTTAGGCCGAGGACAGTGGCTTACATCTGTAATCCCAGCACTTTGAGAGGCCGAGGAGAGGATCGCTTGAGCCCAGGAGTTCGAGACCAGCCTGCGCAACAGAGCAAGACCTCATCTCTACAAAAAAATAAAAAAAAAAAAAACAAGCCAGGCTCGGTGGCTCAGCCTGTAATCCCATGCTTTGGGAGGCTGAGGTGAGTGGATTGCCTGAGCCCGCGGGTTCGCGACCCACCTGGGCAACTTGGCGAGACCTCATCTCTACAATAAATTAAAAATTAGCCGGGCGTGGTAGCGCACACCTGTAGTTCCAGCTACTTGGAAGGCTGAGGCGGAAGGATCACTGCAGCCCAGCAGGTTGAGGCTGTGGTGGCCGGGAGTGGCCACTACACTCCAGTCTGGGCGACAGAGTGAGACTCCAACTCTAAATAAATAAATAAATAAATAAATAAAAGAAAATAAAAACAAAAAAACCAAACTGGGCATGGTGGTGCACACCTGTAGTTCCAGCAATTTAGGAGGCTGGAGCAGAAGGATCATCTGAACTCGTGAGATTGAGGCTGCGGTGAGCTGTGATTGTGCCACTGGTGACAGAGTAAGACTTAAATTCAAAAAAGAAAAAGAATTGTCCAGGCACGGTGGCTCACACCTGTATTCCCATCACTTTGGGAGGCCAAGATGAGAGGCTTGCCTGAGCTCAGGGGTGCGAGCCCAGCCTGGACAACTTGACGAGACCTCATTTCTACAATAGATTAAAAAAATAAGCTGGGCTCGGTGGCTCAGCCT